CCCCCCCCATTTTATAGGCGTACTTATTCAGCGTTAATAAAATTTGCTCGCACAAAGTTATTGCATGGTTTACGTGACGCCATAAATACAGCCGCGGCTAATACCATCTTCGCGTGAAATTCGCGTTTGTCATACTGCACGTAGCAAGGTGTCCGTCGTTTGAATTATTCGCTTATCCTTGCCTTGCTAATTTTTTTTTTCCGGCAATTCGCGCGAAAGAAAACTGTCGTCCGTACTGAATATTTTTAATCAGCGTTAAAGTTTCTGAAAAAATATTTTTTTTCCAAAATACCCCAATTATACTTTATGAATAATTTTGTTAACCAAAAAGTGCCGCTACCGTTTTTATATATTTTTTTTATTATACACGACAGCGAACCAGATACCCGGTTTGGGGTTTCTCGACGGATCGAAGGGGTTGTGTATAACCCCAGACGTATTATAAACGCTCACATAAACATTCCACGGCGTTATCAGTCGTCGGACGCCGGGGCGACGGATATTGTCGCATCCTCCGCTTTGCTCTCTCCGCCATAGGCGAGACACAGGGTGGTGGAAGAGTGTTGACTATAGCATGCAGTATGTATAACAGTAGGTACCAACAACCCTTGTGTATTTCTGGGAGAATTATGGCCGTATAATCGTATTGCGTTAAGTACACGCGTACCTGCTTTAAGAGACGTTCCATGTATTTGCTTTCAACTGCAGGGCTAGTTTTACAGTACAGTTTTATGTCGGTACAGTACTATAGTGGTACAGTACTGTTGCATAGTGAAAATAAAAATATTTTGATTCATAAAAATTGTAATACACAAATTTATATTTTTCATGTGGTACGGTATGCGATTTAGAGCAGATACTTGATTTCAAAAGGGAGGCTTATGGAAAATCGAAGAATTTAATTTTCCATTTTATTCTGCAGAACGCTCGCGCTACTTCGGAAATCCTGGCACTGCGGTATAAAGGATGTCCTTCGTATTTTACGGGGGGTTTTCTTTTTGGTGTTTTTTTATCAGCCATGTCCTGGCATGTTTTACGTGCGCGAACTACGAGCACAAAGGAGTTTGAACTTTTACTTTTTTACGGTTTGAGCCAGGACGATTTTCGTTACCGGAGAGAAGCCTCCTTGGTGCTTTCGGTTTTAGTGCACCTTTCGAGGGCACCGAGCAAAACACCTAAGGGTGCTGTAAAAAGACGAGAGGAACTTTTCTCGGTGAAAGTTGCCCTATCCTTATTAGGGTGAGACTTTGTTATTTTACGAAGGGGCGAAAAAAAATGTTCGACGCTTTACCGCGCGGTGAAAGTTTTTCGACGCGTCTATGTAGGCAGATACTTTCGCATCTTCCTTTTTTTTCTTCTTTTTCGCACACAAATCACTTGGCTGGCAGTGAAGAATTTTCTTTGCGAAAAAGAAAGGCGAAAGGAATATAAAGAAGAGACGGTCGTACGATTGCAGGTGCATGGGTCATCTTGGAAATTGTGATTTTTTTTTTAAACGTGGTAGAATTTGATGTAATATTCAAATGTCCAGGTACCGTTTGTAAGAAATGTAGAAAAAACAAACCGGTTTAAGGGTGTCGGTAAAATATAAATTTTATTAAACCAAACTCCGTTATTTTCCTGAAATGGGTAAAATTGCCTCATAAACTAAATCGCATTAGACCTGCTCGTCGGTTCGCTCTACTTAAAACCCGCAAAGTTTGCATGGCTAAAATTTGGGTCGTCTTTTAAAACCACCGTGACAAAAATGTTTCGGTACTAGCGCGGCAGTCAAATTACTTTATTACCCTCACTGGCTACTCTAACAAGAAGAACCTCTTGTAAGCTATACCAGTACGTACATACAGAACTTCAAAATTATAACGAATAAGACTTATAGTATGTGCATTAGCATGAATCATGTAACATGACCCGTATATATGTGCTATGTCCATTAATTGAAGTACACAAAAGAAATCTATTAAGATCCTCATACGAATTCAAAGCCATTAATCTTTCTAATTTTACTTGTTACAGCGTAACAGTGAAATAACCCATCAAGATAACTGAACATTTTCAAGTGAAAAAAAGTTCCCAAACTATTCGTAACTTTTGATACATAAATCCCATTGCGAA